ACCCAAGAGGCAGGTAGAACATAGAAGAAACAGTGAGGTGTAGTGGTAGAGAAACCGTGTCAGCAAAAGCAGCAGAGCCAGGAGGCTGGCACCAAACAGAATCACTTCCTCGCACACAGAGTAAGAAAGCTGAGTACCTTGTGTAGGAGGCTTATTGGTTGAGTAGGATATGCTTCTAGGAACTTGACCTTACAGTTAAAATGCTGTGCAAATCTGTCCTGACAGCAGTGCCTCTTAAGAGTGACTTTGGTTCACTTACATTGGGCATGTTAACAGGAGCCAGTCTGTAGAAACACACATCATGTTCGTAAAAGCTCAGGGTCCGTGAAGGAGAAAATGACCCTCAATGAGATGAACTGACCGAGTGATTATAGCAATGGACTTTTAAGCACAGCAGAGATTGTGAGGATGGCACAGGACTGAGCAGGGTTTTATTCTGGTGTCTATTGGGTTGCTGGTATTGGAGCTGACTCAATAGAACTTTAATAACAGTAGGTTTGCCAACCCAGGGAACTGGAGCTTAGTACCTTCAGACAGGAGACTTACCAGCACAGGTCAGGCCCAAGGTCCAGAGAGAGGCAGACCCTCACAATGGCTCAGGGAAGCTGTCTTGATGGAAGAATTATATCCTGAACATTCCTGATCCTGAATTGTAATCTGGTAGCCTAATGGTAAGAGGTTGTGCTGCAATCCCAAAGGCACACGGTTCAAATCCACCAGCTGCTCCATAGGAAAAGGATGGGCAGTCTCTTTTGGTGAGATTTACTGCCTCTGAAAGCCCACTGGATGGTCAGCTTTGAGTCAGTTCCAACACCATGACACACAATAACAACCTTCCTAACAAACCCCAGAATCTTCAGTATTGTCTAAGTGAGTTCTGTGTGGCCACTGCAACAAATTAACAAACATAGCAGAGAAAGAGAGAGCACCATGGGAGGAACAGTTGGTGTCTGAATTGGTAAAAAGATTGGAGGGTGGAAGCATGTCTCATCTCTGCCTCATAGGGACTAGCTTTGAATGGTTGGTGCTGATGGTGATGCTCTTTCTTCCTCAAGAAGTTAAAGGTCAGACATTGCCTCCACACCATTTTTACACTGAGCAAATAGTGAACTACAGAACCAAGAAAGCATGATTTAGACTCAAGATTACAGAGATGTAAAGGCCCTAAAACAAATCACCAAGTCAGAACCGACATATTGGTACCTAAAAATAGCCAAGAGTCCCCATCTGTCTATGGTAATAAGTCAATGTCTTCATCTGGGCCCACCAGAAATGAGAGAAATTTCCCATTTTTATGAGCTTTCTTAAAAAGACAGCTTGAACTCAAATGTATATGAATAATTGAATGGGAAACCAATCTGATTTCTAAGCTTTCATTCCATGAAAAAAATTAAAATCATTAAAAAGAGATGATGGGCAATCAGAAAAGGATAAAACAGATGAATGAGACCTTCTAAAACTTAGGTCCCTGTGTGCATAAAAAACTTTTTCCAGCAGGGTGTAAAGAAAACCTACAGACTTGGAGAAAGCATTTAGCAATGGCATCTCAGGCAAGGGTCCCAGAATGAAAGTTTACAGAATACTACAGGGCCTCCACAAGAAAAAGGCCCAAGAACAAAATGGGCACAAGACATAGAAAGACTTTACAATGGAAGACTTAGGGATGACTAAACAGCACATGAAGAAAAGCTCAAAATCACTGATAGTCAGAGAGATGGAAATCAAAACAACAATGAGATATCATATCACCCCAGTAGCAAAGTTTAACAGGACAGCAAGCAATAAATGCTGGAGAGGATGTAGAGAGAACGAAACTTTCATGCACTGCTGGTGAGATTGTAAAATGGTACAACTGCTCTGGAAGGCAGTCTGGCATTTTCTCAAAAATCCCATTTGATTGAGCTATTTGACTGCTAGGAATATACCTCCTCAAGGAAAATAGAACTGAGACACAAATAAAGACATGTACATCTATACATGTACACCTACGTTTATAGAATTATTCATAATAACAACAACAAAAAAAAACCCAACATCAAACTCTGGAAAAAGCACAGATGTCCATCAACAAATGAATGGATTAACAAGTGTATTCACACAATGGAATACTATGCCATATTAAGGAACAACGCTTTCATAAAGTAGCACAGATCATCGGGAAGTCTAGAGAGTATTATGCCTAACGAACTAACTTAGTCTCAAAAGGATGAACACTGCATAGGACCATTATCATAAAAATAGAAGGATAATTAGTAAGATGTATAAAAATATCCAAAAGGGGAAGGGGAAGAGATAGAAAGGAGGGAAAGGGGAAAAGGAAGAAATCACCAGGATAGTAGATGGGAGGAGTGAAAAAGAATAGGAAATATCCAATGAGGACATGAAGACATGGAGTAATAAAAGGCATAGATTAGTAGTAATTAATTTTATAAATACAATGATGTGGATGACTATATTAAAGATAATGTGAATGAAAGAGTGTGTGAAACACAATGTATAAAAAAGAAATAATGTATATGGATTCTGTATGCAAATAAATATAAAGTTTTTAAAAATGACATTTTAAAAAAGACCATTAAATAGCTCTAGTGGTCTAGTGCCAAGAAGCTGTGCCGCAATTTCAAAAGCACGTGGTTTGAGGCCACCAGTTGCTCTGTGGGAGAAAGATGGGCAATCTCCTCCTGTGCAACTAACAGTCTCTGAAAACCCACCAAAGAGTCAGCTATGGGTCAGTTCCAACTCTGCAACATACAACAACAATACATACTTCATGAAAGTAAAACCGTATCAACTTTTTTTTTTTTT